ATAATGCGAGCTAACATTTCTTTTAATCTTTTTAAAGCTTTTCCCTCCCCAGAGAAGATCTGAGGAGGAATCATTGTGCATTTGCACGAAAAAACCGCGAGAATTTTTGCTTGAACTTCGCACACCGCTCGCCATTACAGTGTTTTTTTTTTTGCTGGCCGCAATTTGATACTTTCGCACATGATCAGTATGAGCTTTCGCTTGATTCCCAAGCCCTCAATGCGTTTCGCTGACTGTCACAGATTTCTCCCCATACGCATTCCACGTCAGCAACAATCGTCTTTAATTGACTTGAGAAAATCATACAAGATTGGAACCTTACACCGATCGTAGAACATGCGGTGACAAAAACCACGTGATATATTCTGTCAATAATTCTTACACTCGCCGCATCTGTTCACATGGTGGTGATACAGATGGAAAATAACAAAACAAGTGAAAACATTGAATGAACGGGCCACATCCACATCTCGTAGTTTAGTTCGTAAGAAATAGCAATTTGCGAAAACTGGTACAAACTGGTAAGTTCAAGTTTTGAAAGTGTTCATTTCCCAAGTGTTACGGTCTTAATCTTTGCAAAAGTTCTCCATTGATCGCCGCTTTTGGCGAGGTCTGTTAACAGCAGTGACTGGTCAGTGTGAAGAGTCACACGGCTCTGGGCTATCAGGTGCTGTTAACTCATCAATGTTGGATCGCACTTTAATTGGGAACGGGTGTTTGACACTCCTCTTCAACAAATTTCTCGAACCTGCTACTTGAACCACTGCTGCTCTTACTCTACCGTCAAGTCCTGGCAACAACTCCCTTTAAACTCACCAAAAATAGATGAGCTTGGGGAAGGTGCCTGGAAAGATAGTGGAGCCTCGAGCACAAGAGCTGAGCACGTAGGGTAACCATGACAACCCTGTGAGCGGCAAACACCAGCACCGTCACATTGCAAAAAACAGTGGTACCATGATACCTACCTCATACTTACCAGGAAAAGAAACGTAATGACACCCGTCGTGCCATTGCCACGACAACAGTTATGCCGCTACTTCTGTTTTAACTGAGACTAAAATTCCCAGATTTTATCTTAAACAAGGATCATCCACTCCCACCAATCTAATGGAGAGAGTTAAGACAATATGGGAACCATGTGTGTTCCGAGCAAGACCCTCTGTCCCACTTAAATGGGGATATTTGGTTTTTCACAGAAAGAGACTGGAGCCAAGAGTGTTGCCATGGCAACAACAGTAGGTGTCATTCTGTTTCTTTTGTGATGTACATTTCATTTACCTTCATCTAACTTCATCCCCCTTCATTTCCCTTCATCTATCTTCATTTCCCTTCATCTAACTTTATCTACCTTCATTTCCCTTCATAGAACTTCACCCAGCTTCACTTCCCTTCATCTAACTTCATCAGTGTTCATGAAAGTGATCTCTCCTCAAATTAACTGGCAAACAGGTAGGCAATTTTACAAAAAGTCTCCTAATTTAATAATTTATACTTATGACAGAGGTAGACTTTCAATACATAATGCCTATACAACCTCTAAAAAGATGTAGAGGAGGCCAAGTGCTACAAATGTAAGAATTAAAAGCATTTAACATCGATTTATAAGGGGTGATGATGTTCCAGTGTGTCCCAGTCAAGTATAATTGAGGTTTTCAAAGGACACTTCACCTGGGTTAAGGTCCCAATAACGGTTTTGTTGGCCTGTACTCTGCATGTTGCTGTATGTGCAATCACATGGCTTGAGATGTAGCCAATTTCAAACTTGAAATTCACTGAATAGTACCCCTACTATAATTAAAATTTAAATATGCTTACTTCTTTTCGGCCTTCATTGAGCAGATTTTTTGGCAGCTGATTATGGAGTAGTTTCTCCACTTTGTTAACTTTTTCAGCTGAATTCGAGGAATGTTCGGACCCTCCACTTTTCAGATAAGTGGGAAGGTTTACTGTTTTCAGCTTCTCTTT